AGACATTTGATACTTTTCTGGACTACACAAAGAAAAGTGCTATATGCGCTATATTAAAATCAGATTATTATGTATGAAAAATTATTGGGAGGGAGAGGGGGGGCTAAAGCCCCCAGTCCCCCCAGCCCCCTGCTCCGCGGGTCCTGACTAACCAGGTTAGTCCTGGTCAAGGGCCTAATTAATTAGTTTAACAGCAGCACAAACCTAGAATTTCTGTACCTTCTTCGCCAATGAGAAAACGAATTAGTGTTGCCATGATAACCACCTATTTACGATTTCATATGTACAACTTAAAATTTTTATAATAACATGAAGAATTCCAGCGTTTTCATTGGTCGAGAGCCATGATCTATTAGACGACAGACGCACGGAATTACATCACGCAAAACTTCTTTTTGGTTTTTAAATAAAGTGGCGTAAATATTTGAAAACCCTGTTGAATTTATGCCTGACTGGGCAAATAAAAATATTGAAGACGACCTCGCAAAAGCTGTTGACAAATATGAAGAGCAACAGAACATAAAAAAGACGAAAAGCCGGTTTGCTAACGTTAAAACCAGGGAGTATTTCTCTTTGCAGCAGGCGACTGAGACTGCTCGAAAATTTGGGAATGCCATTCTCAAATTTTCGAGCAGTCTCAGTCGCCTGCTGCGAAGAGAAATACGAAATGGGTAGTAAATCTGTTTGAAAGTAAGTTTCTTTATACAAAACAATTAAGAAGCTCCTCTAAATTACACAAGTCCATTTTAAAGACAGACTATTTTTCTTATACGTTTTTACAGACTGGTGTCGCGAAAGAAACATAAAGAAGCCACAGGTGGAAATGACAAATTCTGAGCTCGACAGAAACTTGTTCAAATTTTACGTTGAGGCAAGAACCCAAGAGGGCAAAGAATACAGTCGTTCAGCACCGCTAGGTTTTCGAAATTCTGTTGAACGTTTCATAAATAACAACGGAAAGTCAGTAAAAAATAACGAAAAACCACCAATTTCAACAGAGCAACAAAATTCTCGATGCTAAACTAAAAATTAATCGTCGTGCTGGGAAAGAAAATGTAAAGCACAAGCCCATAAGTGTTCAACCCGACCTGAAGAAAATTAAAACGAGTATACGTACATACCTAGAGTAGCCATGGATAATCCGAATGGTCTACTAAGACGAACATGGTATTTGGTATCTCTTTATTGGTGTAGAAGAGGACGTGAAGGACAACGAAATCTCCGCTTGGGCAGCTTTCAATTCTGAGAAGACGAAAATGGTCGTGAATACGCCGCGATGACCCATGACGAAGCGACAAAAAATCATCCTGGTGGTGAAAATAGCAAGCCCTCTCACAAAAGAGAAACAAGAATGTACAGCACGATGACGCATTTGCCAGTTTGAAGTTGTACGTTAAGTTTAATTTGAAACAAGAATGTACAGTCACAGATGACGAATTTGCCAGTTTGAAGTTGTACGTTAAGTTTCGAAGCTCAATCCTAAATGCACGGCATGTTTCCAACATCCTAGATCAAATGTTGCCCTACATGACGCCGTTTGGTACGAAAACCGACCCTTTGGTGTGAACAAACTTGGGGAAATGATGAAAAGAATTTCCATTAGAGCTGAACTCTCCCAAGTTTACACAAACTATTCCGTTAGAGCATCCGCCATAACTTTACTTTCCAGCGCCAACGTTCCAAATCGCCACATCATGTTTGTTTCGGGCCATAGCAACGAGCAAAGCATCGCTCATTATAGCTCACGACCGACCACATCGCAGCTAGAGAATGTTCCTGTCACTTTTTCAAGTGCTCTTGAAAATCTGCCATCAGTATATATGGAACGATCACTCACAACAGTTAGCAATTCGGCGAGTGTCAACACATCGATCACAGATGCGACCTCGAATACAAGTGCAAACGTGTCCCTATCAATGTCAAGTTTTCCAACGGGTTTCTTCACTTCCTGCAACGTAGGTAACGTTCAAGTGATGCTCAATCACCACAACCGCTCAGAACAGAACAATTGAGTTTTGATCACACGGTTTTGACCGTTTAAATAATGTTGTTTTGATATAAAATTTGTATTTTACTTCGAATAAAAATAAATATTTGATCAGTCGTGGCCTCTTTATTCTGTGCAGCCAATCACAGCACAGCACGCGACTTAAGGTAGCCAATAGCATTCCATTATTTGTATAGATCATGTACGCGTGATATTTGCAAAATTTCGACTTTTTCAAATTCCAAAATGCTTTGGTGGATAAAGAGTGTAGCTATTCACTTGCTTAATTCGGAAATGTTTTCAATTTCATTATATAAAACAAATAGATTACATTTTCCTATTGTCTGTTCAGTTATAGATACATAGTATGATGTCATATGTGACAAGAACAAAAAGTGACCACTCGCCTAGGCGGCTCGTGACACTTTTTTGTTCTTACCACATATGACGTCATACTCTCTATCTATAACTGAACAGACAACGGGAAAATGTAATCTATTTGTTCGACAGCTCTTTCATATCATTAATAGAGGTTACTTGTGAATTTTCTGAAGTCCAAACATATAATCCTTAAACTTCATGGAGCCACCTAAATGAACTGCTATGCAATTAAAACAATGACAGCTAATGAAAATGGCCAAATTCTGCGAGGACCATCCCCTTCGATATTTTTCAAAACACAATAACTCTCAAGTCTGAGTTTAAATTTTTGTAAAATTGCAAGTTTTGGCTGCGTGCGTTATACGTAAGTAATCAAGCTATTTGTTTAGCAAAAATAACAACATATATCAATTCTGGAAAAAGATAACAATATGGTCCACAGGACCATCCCCTCCGATTTCCCTCAAAAACAGCTGCAATTGTAACCTTACGTATGTTAATTAAATGCAAGTTAAGACGTATGACTGTAGGAGTAATGGTTAAGGAGAAATATGAGATTACTTCACAAATTTGATGCTTTTGTAATGTGTGTAAAAATACCCCTAACTTCGCATAAACATGTCAATCCAAAACTGCCAATATTTATATAACTATACATTGACCAGGCATTAAATTACATTACTTTATACTTAGAATACCCAAATGTGTAACTATGTAAAAGTCTCTGAAATTTACACATAATTTCATCAGTAACAGAACAATAGATACACAGGGACTCACAAATCAGTGGAAAGGAACACAAGACAAAGTACTTTTAGAATTAATGATTAAACAATGATTAAAAATTAAATTACAATACAGACACCAGTTGAATGCAGCTACATAGATCTAGTCAAGTACACGAAGATGTTTTGAAACAAATTTTCCAGTAACGATACTGTATAATGTGAAAACGGAGCAAATTACGTGGTCATACCTGGGTTATTTTTGCCGTCGAACGTTCACCTTCCACAAATTATAAACCCCTGTTTCACTCCAAACTCGCCGTATGAAGGTTGCAGATGCTTCAGATTTCCTAAAAGTTTTGTGAAGACTCTACCACCAGTATTTATTTTGTAATTTGACTATTTTCACTCACAAATATAGACATTTATTTTATTTGGAATTGAATATGCATGGCGCCGCCATTTGTGAAAAAAGAACTCGTTTTCGGGCAAGGAATGACGGTATTTTTGAGCGCTAAATACTCGATTTTCTGTCAAATCACCTCTTAATAATTAAGCATCAAGGAATAAAATAAATACTTTATTTACCGTTGAGGTCGGACCGTACTTAAAAAACTTTTTACCTCTGTCTCAGAAGCTTGAAAATATTTTTCAGTACTGTCCTTCCAGCCGGTATATATATATATATATATATATATATATATATATATATATATATATATATATATATATATATATATATATATATATATATATATATATATATATATAACATATATATATATATATATATATATATATATATATATATATATATATATATATATATATATATATATATATATATATATATATATATATATATATATATATATATATATATATATATATATATATATATATATATATATATTTATAATATATATTTATAATATAGCATTTGTAAATTCTGAACGCTGATTGGCTAAGAGCCGTGTTGATATAACTCAATGTCAACACGGGAAATTTTCCGCTGCTTGTAAACACGGAAATTTTTCTTATCCTTCGGGCTTTTGACATTGCTATATTATAAAAAAAATATAAAACATTTTTTCCGTATTGATATATAGTTATATCAACACTCGTGGAAGTTGAGAAAACTCGAAATTGT